CTATGAATGCAGCCAATTCATGCTACCAGCATGGACCGCAAGGCACCTGCCTTCTTACATGCTACCAACGCAACAAATGTCTCTGCATGTACAACCCAAACTTCCAATTGGGGCTAATAGTGTCAAAGCTTTCATGTGCCAACCAAGTACTCTTAAATGGGCTTTTTGCAAAGGAGCTTCAACAACTTGCCTATGCCATATGTATAATGAATGCAAACCGTGTCTTTGGTAATAACAATTCTTATGCAAGTGTTTCAGGTTTGCCACCTTCTACAGATGTCTCAATTAATTCTGCCTTCACTAAACCTTAGATTTTGAATAGCGGAGCCACTGATCACATCACTTATGATTCTACACTTTTCACTAAGACAGAATCTTGCCCAGTACCCATTGTTAATTTACCCACTGGATCCACAGTCCCAATCATTTCCATTGGCATTGTACCTTTCAACTCAAATATCACATTAGACAAAGTTTTACGTGTTCATTCTTTCCACTTAAATCTCATGTATGCTAGTAAATTCACTGATTCTTTAAACTGTTGTATCTTTTGTTTCCCATTTTCTGTGTCTTGCAGGACTTGGCTAAGGGGAAGATGATTGGTTCAGGTAAACAATGTGGTGGTCTCTATTACACGTCTTCGTTATAGTGAACACCTGTCTCAAATCAAGTTTCCCACCCCACCAGTTTGTGGCATATGCGACTTGGTCATCCGTCCCCTTCTCGTCTCAAATTGGTGACTACATTCCTAACTTCCAAAAATATTTCTTTTGATGCTAATTGCAGTATTTGTCCCATGGCCAAACAAACAAAACTTCCATTTCCTTTAAGTTCTATATCAACACATGCTTCATTCGATTTGTTACATTGTGATATTTGGCCACACAAAGTTCCCACACATTCAGGGGCACGTTTCTTTCTTACCATTGTGGATGATTTCACAAGATGCACATGGGTATTTTTGATGCAACATAAGTTTGAAACTCAACATCTTTTAAAATCTTTTGTTGTTTTTGTTCATACTTAATTTCATGCCCAAATTAAAGCCATCAAAGTTGACAACGGGTCTGAGTTTTTTTTCCATGAGAGATTTTTTTTTTCAAACGAATGGAATTAAATATCAATGCACAATGTGTTTATGCTCCACAACAAAACGGAGTTGCCGAACGCAAACATTGTCATATTCTCACCGTAGCATGAGCCTTATTGTTCCAATCTCACTTACCTCTTTCTTTTTGGGGAGAATGTGTCTTAACTGCTGTCTACCTAATTAACCACCTATCATCACCACTTTTATCCACCAAGTCACCTTTTGAGTTGTTATATAACCGGCCACCATCTTTTGATCACCTGAAAGTATTTGGTTGTTTATGTTATGCAACTGTTGTTCATCTTACTCAAAATTTTGATCCCCATGCCAAATGCTACATCTTTGTTGGGTTTAACACACGACCATGTGTCTGACTCACCAGTTAACCTTACCCCACCTGCTAGCCCGTTACTCCAAGCACCACATAATCATATCCTACCTATCTTACTAGATAATTCTATCACCCCTACCTCACCAAATAATCCCAACATACCTACGTTAATCCCTTTCACCTGTGTTCCCTCTTCCACTTCTTCCGCACCTTCTGACATCCCCTCACACTCGGTCAACCCAACTCCTTTCCATTTATCCTCTTCCGAGCCCACACTTTAACCCACACAATCTATACCACCTCTGCGTCAGTCCCTTCGTTCCAAACACCCTCTGGCATGGCATAGCGACTACCACATGTCCAACCAAGTCAATCATTCTACCTCGACGCCTCGTTCTTCAGGTACTCGATATCCTCTTTCTCATTTTCTTTCTTACTCTCATTTTTCTTCTGCCCATTATGTTTTTCTAGCTAACATTACAGGTCCCACCGAGCTTACTTCATATGCTTAAGCTATCCATGATCCAAATTGGTGACATGTCATGCATGCAGAATTAGAGGCTTTGGAGCAAAATAACACATAGAGTATGGTTCATTTACCCATTGGTCATAAACCGATTGGATGCAAATGGGTCTACAAATTAAATACAAGTCTGATGGCACCATTAAACGATACAAAGCTCAGCTAGTTGCTAAGGGCTACACTCAGGTTGAGGGCATTGATTATCAAGAGACATTTTCCCCTACTACAAAGCTTACCACTTTTTGATGTTTCATTATTATTGTTGCTGCCCGCAATCGGTTCATCTACCAGTTGGACATCTAGAATGTTTTCCTTCATGGAGATTTACACAAAGTAGTTTACATGGAGCCTCCTCCTGGTCTTCACTAATAGGGGGAGAACATTGTATGTCGGCTCAATAAATCCCTCTGTGGACTCAAACAAACCTAGAAATTAGTTTTCCACTTTTTCAAATAGTGTACAAAAGGCTGGTTATCAATAATCAAAGGCTGATTATTCACTATTTACCAAGGCCGAAGGTAATTCATTTACTGCAGTGCTTATCTATGTTGATGACATACTTATCACAAGAAATGATCTTCAAGAAATGGAACATCTCAAAAAGTTTCTTCTCCAATGCTTCTATAACAAAGACCTCGGAGATTTCAAATATTTTCTAGGCATCGAGTTCTCCCATTCCAAGAAAGGTATTTTCATGTCTCAAAGAAAATATGCACTAGATATTTTGCAGGACCCAGGACTTATAAGCGCACGCCCAGACAAATTTCCTATAGAGCAAAATTTGAAGCTTACTTCCACAGATGGAACGTTGCTAAATGATCCAACTAAGTACAAAAGATTGGTTGGGAGACTGATTTATCTTACTGTCACAAGGCCTGGTATAGTTTACTCTGTTCGAACATTGAGTGAGTTTGTGCATCAGCCTCACAAACCTTATTGGGAAGCTGCTTTACGAATCCTCAAATACATCAAAGGTACTCCTGGTTAAGGTTTGTCTTTTCTTGCCTCCAACAATCTTGCCTTGAAAGATTTTTGTGATTCAGATTGGGGAGGTTGTCATGCCACTAGAAGGTCAGTTACTAGATATTGTGTATTTCTTGGAAACTCTCCCATCTCATAGAAGTCTAAGAAACAAACCATTGTTTCTAGATCATTAGCAAAAGCCGAATATCGACCTATGGCTAACACATGTTTGGAGCTCACTTGGCTGCACTATATATTACAGGATTTAAAAGTCCCACAAAGAGCTCCAACATCATTGTTCTGTGATAATCATGCAGCTTTGCATATTGCAACAAATCTAGTTTTCCATGACTATATGAAGCACATTGAAATAGATTGTCACATAGTTCGAGAAAAACTGCAGGTTGGAATGTTCACAAAAGCCTTAGGGAAAGATCAATTTATGACACTACGTGACAAGTTGAGATTTCATGACATTCACTCTCCAACTTGAGGGGGAGTGTTAAGAATTATCTTTGTAATATATTTGTAATATTTACTTTCTTGATTTAGTCTAGATCAAATCCCACCAAAGGTGGATCACAAATTTCTAGCCTTAGAAATAGGTGTAATTGAATGTTGTATTTGTAGATATACCTTGTATTGTTGACAATGAAAGCAATCAGAAAATCATTCACCCAATTGCTTATTATTCAAACCCTTGTCAATTCGCCCTTCAATCTTCCTTTGGTTTCTTAATTGAAAGACCAAAATAATGGATGGTGGATAATCTCACGGACCATTTTAGCTAAAAAATCGAAAATGATCAATGCAAAAAAATTAACAAAAGTGTGTGGAAAGTTAAAATGAGTGTGTAAATAGCACTACCATATATATATATATATATATATCTATATATATATATATATTATATATATATATAATATAATATAATATATATATATATACAATATAATATAATATAATATAATTATAAAATTAAATGTACACAACACAACTTTCAAAATGCTCCAAAGACATTGGATGGAAAGGGTCAATTCGACTTGTGGCAATCAAATTGCATGAGGCGATGAAAATCCTCTAATACAAACATTTAGATACAACCAATAATTATAAATTTGGAAGTAGTTTGGTCTTATTAGTTACAACAGAAGATTACTTAAGTATAAGTTTTAGCAACCTTTATTTGTTGACAAAAGCATAGGGTACTACTTTGCAATTGTTCGCAATCCTCTAAAAGAATGCCAATCACTATCATCACTAGTAGAAAAAATACTTTGCATGACATAGGTACCTTCATCGACAAAGTAAAAAATCGTTGCCTGAAAAATAACGCAACGAAACCTTCGTCGCGCGCTAACTATCGTGCCAAGGCAGTGACAGTAGGGTTTGCGTGACGAAGAAGAAACATACGTCGCACAAAGCCACTTTGTGCGACGCACATCTCTACATCACACAAAGATTCTTTGAGCGACGCACATCTCTATGTCACACAAAGTGGCTTAGGTGGCTTTGCGCGACGTAAGGACATGTGCCTTACGTCGCACAAAGCCTCTTTGCGCAATGTAGAGATGCGTGTCGCGTAAAGCCTCTTTGCGCAACGTAGAGATATGTGTTGCGCAAAGTGGCTTAGGTGGCTTTGCACGACGTAGGGACATGCGCACAAAGTGGCTTAGTGGCTTTACACGACATAGGTTTCTTCTTCATCGCACGTGGCTTAGTGGCTTTACACGACATAGGTTTCTTCTTCATCGCGCAAACCCTTTCTTTTGTTTTGGCCAAAAATATTTTCTTTTTAATTTTTAATAAATATTGTAATTAAATTCTAAACAATAATTAATTAACCAAGAAAAAAGTATTTAATTATAAAATATATCAAAATGTACATACAAGATGTCCGAACAAAAAAGAAAAAACTACAAGTAGTTTTCTAGGTTTGATACATCAGGCTACTGGGCATCGGCAGGGCCAGGTAGCTCGAAGGTCGAAGGTGGAGCAAGATCAGGTGCTGGTAACGAGATTTGGAGGCCTAACATCTGTATGGCTCGTACAGGGCTTCTCACCTACACAGCATAGGTCCTCATCTCCTTGTCCTAGGTCCTTATTTGCTCGCCTTGGACCGCAAGCTGACCCTTTAGGGTTGTCACTTCCTCCTTCAATGCATCAACCTTTGCTATGTTCGATCTGGAAGAAAAGGCACCCGTCTCACTAACCTGCGCTTTCCCCATATACCGAACAACCTTGCCATGACGACGACTGAAGTTCTAATCTAGGACATCAGTCAGGATCTGAAAACTTGCATTCTCGGATACCATGACGTCCTTGATCGGGGTTTTCGAGGGAAGGTGCGATGTTGCTTCTTGGAGAACAGCAATGCGTTTTTCCACCATAACAGCCTGTAATAATAAAGAAAAACATATAATGTTTAATATCAAAATATAAATAATATTTGAACGATTCATACATATAATAATAATAACAATTACATATACTTACATGAAGCTGCTCAGTGATCTCATCACCAGGTCGAACGTAAACGTCCTCTAACATGTCGATATCTAGGAACTTAGAACCTTCCTAAAGAAAAAAAAAACATTAAGAAAATTTTATTAATCAATAATAATAAATAAATTGTATAAAATTTCAAAATTAATATACTTTTACCTGACGTCGTGCCTTAAGCCTATATGAAAAGGACTTCGAATCGAAATGGTGGAGAAGTGTCTTTGACTCTCGAGCTTCCATGCCAACAACATATTTCTTCTGTTAAACACACAATATACATGTTAGTGCGACTATTTGAAATAAATTAATAAAAAAAGCTTAAAAAAATAACTTAAACAATAATAAATTATTATTAAAATATTATGTACATACCACAAATTTTGGGTCCGTAAAATGTTTGCAAAGCCACTCCCAATCCTCCAGCTGGTCCTGCAACTCGATTGGACCATGCAGGTGAGCAATCTTCGGATCATCCCATCGCTTAAAATACATGTGAAGATTGTTCTTCCAATGTTTATACCGGGTTGCTAAGGTCTCTTCTAAGTAGGCCATGGCCTCGAGGGATATGTCCTGCAAATCATAAATGACCTACAAATATGAAAAACAATAAAATAATAGTAAGAAATTTAATAATATTAAGATAATATACTAACCGACAACTTATCTTGTACTAGTTTCTTCGTCTCCTTAGGAATTTCTGCCCAAGATTGCCACTGCACAGGAAAATTTTGTCGAATAACAACTCCACAGCTACTAACGACGCTGCTATGCTGCTGTGATGTAACGGCCCCAAGATATCGCGAGTCATACGCAATCTTGATCTTGGAAGCGGTTTGACGTACGCTTTGTGCCGACTTCAACATTTGATTAGGCCCTTTAGTGTTTTTTTTAGCTAGCAAAAATACGTAAATGGTGAAAACCCTAAGCTTAAATTTTTACCAAAAATTCGACACGACCTCCCCTAATAGTATAGCATTTCCCAAAACCTTAAAATAGTAAAATAACAGTAATTCACAACCTGCAACACATTTTCACAATCCAGCAAATTTTCACCATCATAAAAATAATAGTTTTAAAATGAAAAAAAAAAATACAATGTAGTGAGAATTAGAAAAAACTACCTGGCTGGGAGGCCTCACTCTCAACTTTGGATGCTGAGGAAGTGTGATCAAAAGGCTCTGGTGAGGCTGCCGTGCATTAAGCGACTAAACCGACATTGATGATGTTGATGAGATGGGCACCTGGGATGCCGTAGGAATAGTCTCAGTAAATGGTGTAAGCTCCCCAATCAACGGAGCACTCACACCTAGAGCAATAAATGCTGATGATGTGGGAAGCACATTGGTCACACTCTGACGACGAGTGATCAACTGCAACATCTATACACTTTTTGAACCATAAAATTATAACATTAGAAACTAATCCTTTCTTGCATTTGTTCACATATATATATATATATATATAAAGCAGTAGTGCAACGGTAGAAACAATACTAATTAAAGATGGTTAATAGCAAAAAATTAGGAGCAAGAGTTCCTGTAGAATTGAAAGTAACAGTAGATAAACTTAACAAATCCCAATAAGCAGCTAAAATAAGAAGTACTCTATAATAGATAACACTAGTGACACATCAGCTTAAGTAAGCTGATGTGTTGTCTTAAGATAGTTACGTGGTGTAAATATAAGTTTGCTATGTAGTGAGCTATATATATTATCCTAAAGGGATAAAGTCTGTAATGTTCATTCTTCACATAAATAAGAAAATCAGTCTTCCTTTCTTAGCTTTTATCTTCAAGCTCTCTCTGTTACATGCATGGTGGTTTATGATTTCGATCATGGTATCATCGTGAGCTATATGCTTAGCAGCATTTAATTTCTTCGTATCTCGTCGTCTACGCTTTGTTTGGTACTCATTCTTCAGTTCGTCGACTCTGCGATCTATCTTTGGGACTTCACGATTTCCGCTCGCCATTGAGGTTTTTCTTTCTGATCTGATTCTTGTTGCGCTCTGTTATTTGTGGAATTTAATCAATCTTGCTGCTATCTACGTTCTTGTGCACTTCAATTTTATTTTTAGTCATGTTGGATGTTCTGATTGATTTGGACTTGAAAACCCTAGCTCTTGATCTTTGCAATTGCTTTGAATCTTTGATTTTGGGAAGATTTGTTGTTGCTGATTCTCTGCTTTATTGTTACTTCTACTAGAAGTTGTCATTTGTCTAGAATTCATCAATTGTGCAAGTTTATCATGCCTATCTCTAACTCTTCGGCTATGGATATTTTTCGCAACAATTCTAATTTCATGTTTATTAAATTGGATGACACAAATCATGTGTCTTGGAGTGCTAAAATCCAACGATTGTTGAAAGGATATCATTTGCTTGGGTATATTGATGGTAGTCTTCCATGTCCTAATTCTACTAGTGAGTCCTTTCAACAATGGATTGATCATGATACCGCTATCATGAACATGTTTATTACTACCAGAACTGAGGAGGCATTTTCTGAAATAATGAATTATGAGACTTCCCTTGAGGCTTGGGTTACATTGTAGGAACGCTTCTCTTCTATTTCTGAGGCAAGTCTTATGCAATTGAAAACTAATTTGCAAACCATTCAAAAACGATCAGACTCCATTGAAGTCTATTTGAGCTAAATTAAGACCGCTCACCAACATTTAGCTTGTGCGGGTTTTACTGTCACTAATAAGATATTGTTTTGATTACATTGAATGGCCTTCCGGTTGAATATAATCACTTATGCTCCGATATTCAAGCTCGACCGGTTGCTATTACTATATTTGAGTTACGTTCTCTACTTATTGCTGAAGAAAGTGATATTTCTAAAGTTAATACTATCATGAATGCTTCAATGCTTGCTGCCATGGTTGCTAAGGGTTTATCTTTTTCTACATCTTCCACAACTGAACCTGTACTTAATTTTTCCAGTAAGACTTATTCTTCCGTTAACTCAAATTTGTCTGAACATATGCTTAGAAGTTCATCTTAGCCACCATATTCTTAGGGCAATTCATATGACGTTTCTTGGTCTCGTGGAGACCATACTGGTGCTCAATTTAATCGTGGAAAAGGAAATTACAAAAACAAATACAATGGAGGGGGTCGATATAATGGAGGTTATGGTCATTCTCAATATTCTGGCCATAATTTTACTTTATTTCCAGTTGGAGACCTCAATTTTTCAATGGCGGACAATCTTTTCACCTTGGCATTTTTCAAAATCGTAATGGTGGTTATAATGGTGGACAATTTCCTTCATTTCAATCTGGTGGATTACAGTTTTATAATGGGGGACAATTTCCTCACTTTGGTAGTTATCAAGGTTCTTATGGTGGTTCCCCTCAATTTTCCCATGGAGAATGATCTTCTTCACATGGAGATGGTTCATACTACTATGTTCCTCCACATAATGGACAAGGAGTTCTTGGTCCAAGTGCACCATTATATCTTGCACCACCACCATCTCCACCAATTTCTAGTGTCTTAACATCTAGCTCATCCATAATACCTTGTCAGATTTGTAAGCAGCTGAGTTATACTGGTACTGATTGTCCTCATCGCTACAATTATGTTGTGCAAGGAAACAGTCCCCCTTCAGTGCAAGCCTTCACTGCCATGTCTTAGTGCTATTTTAACCTCCAAATATTTGGCTCACAGATGGTGGTGCAACTCATCATATGGTCTCAGATATCAACTGTCGTACTGCAGTGTGACCTTGCTCTCCAACTGATACCATTACAGTAAGTAATGGTGTTGCACTCCCTATTTTACATATTGGGGATGCTACTTTAACTCTTGGTTCTCGAGTTTTTCATTTGCGTAACGTGTTGCATGTTCCTCAACTAAGTCATCATTTTTTATCAATAAAACGATTTTGTTTGGACAACAAGTGTCGTTTCTTTTTTGATGAGGTTATTTTTGAAATTCAGGAAAAAATGGAGAAGGTTATGTACCAAGGCCAAAGCACTGATGGCTTGGTACCCCATTCTTATCCAAATTAAGCTTGATCCAACTTTTATCAAACGTGTTTTTCTTAGTTAGAAGATCAATTCACACCTGTGGCATCAACACTTTGGTCATCTGCTAATGATGTTACTTCCATTTTGTTGTCTTATGCTAATATCTCTTGTTCTGTAGATTCATGTTCAATGATATGTCAATCTTGTTTGAAGGGTAAAATGACTCGTTTGCCTTTTTTTCTAGTGTAAATAGAGCTAGAAAAGCTTTTCATAAGGTCCATACTGATGTTTGGGGGCCAAGTCCACATGTTTCTATCTCAGGATATCGATATTATGTTGTGTTTGTTGATGACTGTACTCGCTACTGTTGGATCTATCCACTTGTGAATAAATCCAAGGTTTTTGGATATTTTGTTCAATTCTATGCATATATTTCCAATTATTTTTCAAAGTCTATAAAGATATTACAGAGTGATGGTGGTGGTGATGGTAAGTTCATTAGTAAAGTGTTTCAAGAATTTGTTGGATCTAAAGGCATTCAACACATGAAATTATGCCCATATACTCCACAACAAAATGGGATGACAGAGAGAAAGCATCGACACTTGGTTGAAACAGCTATTTCTCTTCTTTCTATAGCCTCATTACCTCTGAAATTTTGGTTTCATGCTTGTTCTACAGCAAACTATCTTATTAATCAGATGCCAACCAAAGTTCTAGATATGAAGTCTCATTTTGAGAAGCTTTTTGGTTCACTTCCTGATGTTACTACTCTTAAAGTTTTTGGTAGTGCTTGTTATCCACTATTACGATCATATAATCACAATAAGTTGCAAGAAAGGACTGACCAATGTGTGTTTATTGGGTATACTCTTGACTGACCAATGTGTGTTTATTAGGTATACTCTTGATTACAAAGGCTACATATGCTATCATATTGCATCTGTAAGGGTTTATGTATCAAGGCATGTTATTTTTGATGAAGGCGTGTTTCCTTTTGCATTAATTAAGGCCATTGATCCTACACCGATGACTAGTTCATTTTTCACTTTTATTACTCCTTTATGTGCTACTCCAAGGTCTTCAGAAGCTATAAATTTGGCTCCTATCCATATGCAGTCTGCTGATACTTCTACAGTGGTACAAAATATTCCTCATCGAGTCAATCAAGATTCACAGCCTCCAGCTGTTCATTCTGTTCCAAAGAATCATTCTGGTGCTTCCATGTCATCTGCATCCACTACTTTTAATTCCTCATAATCACCATCCTATGATCACTTGAGCAAAGTCAGGAATTACCAAGAAACGCGCACTTCATGCCTCCATTTCTCCTAATCCTAGTCTTGTTGAACCCAAGACATATCGACATGCCATGAAAGTTCCTGAATGGTATAAAGCAATGCAAAAAGAATACCAAGCTCTTCAACAACAATAGACATGGTCTCTTGTTCCACTTCTTGCTTCAAGGAGCTTAGTTGGTTGTAAATGGGTTTTTAAACTCAAGAAGAATGTTGAAGGTTCAGTATCTAGACACAAAGCCCGATTAGTTGCCAAAGGTTATTTGCAAGAGGAAGGAGTGGATTATGATGGAAATTTTAGTTCGGTTGTTAAGCACACTAATGTTTGAATTGTTCTTACCCTTGCTACTAATTTTGGTTGGACAATTAAGCAATTAAACGTCAAGAATGCCTTCCTTCATGGCTTTCTTTCTGAGGAAGTATACATGCAACAACCCCCTGGCTTTGTGAATTATACTTCTCCTCACTTGGTTTGCCAATTACACAAATCTCTATATGGTTTAAAACAGGCTTCACGAGCCTGGAATGAACGTTTCACTACTCATGTTTTGGGCTTGGGATTTCAACAATCACAATCAAATTCTTCTCTATTTGTTCAACGCACAGATTTCGTTGTTATCATTTTATTACTCTATGTTATTGATAGTCTCTTAACTGGGAATAACTCGGCTGCTTTGGATTCCTTTGTCAAGACTCTCAACTCCGAATTCGATATGAAAGATCTTGGTCAGTTGTCCTATTTTCTTAGGCTTTATATTCATTATGAACCTGAAGGTATCTTTGTGAATCAAGTTAAATACGTAACTGAGTTACTGTTGAAAGCTGGTATGACTGAGTGCAAACCTTATGCAATTCTCTTATTCCAGAAGCCAAACTATTAAAGTATAAAGGAGAACCTCTAGCTGATCTATTCTTGTTTCGGAGCTTAGTAGGAGGATTGCAATATCTTACATTTAGTAGGCCTGATTTATCTTTCGCTGTTAATACGATTTGCCAATTCATGCATAGACCTACTACACTTCACTTCATGGCTGTCAAACGTATACTAAGGTATCGTAAGGGCACTATTGAGTATGGTATTCAATTTTCTAGAGGCAATTTAGATTTGCAAGCCTACTATAATGCAGATTGGGTTGGTGGCCCCAATAACCGATGTTTTACATCTAGTTTTGTTATCTTTTTGGGCTGCAATTCTATTGCTTGGGGTGCAAAGAAGTAGCCTACCGTGTCTCGTTCTTCGACCGAGGCAGAATATTGAAGTTTGGCTCAAACTGCTTGTGAGTTACACTGGATCCGACAACTTTTATGTGATCTTCATCTTTATCTAGCTAGACCTCCTAGTTTGTGGTGTGATAATATCTCTGCAATTACCTTAGCTCATAATCCTATCTTTCATGGTCGTACTAAACACATCGAGGTGGATGTTCATTTCATTCGTGAACGTGTTCATAAGAAAGATTTAGTGATTTCTCATGTCTCTAGTTCTAATCAAATTGCCGATATTATGACCAAGGGGATCCATTCCCCTCAATTCTTATTTTTACGCAGCAAACTCATGCTACAGAATCCTACCATGAGGTTAAGGGAGGCTAATAGATAACACTAGTGACACATCAGCTTAAGTGAGCTGATGTGTTGTCTTAAGATAGTTAAGTGGTGTAAATATATGTTTGCTTTATGTAATGAGCTATATATACTATCCTAAAGGGATAAGGTCTGTAACGTTCATTCTTCACATAAATAAGAAAATTAGTCTTCCTCTCTTAGCTTTTATCTTCAAGCTCTCTCTGTTACATTCATGGTGGTTTATGATTTCGATCACTTTATGGTTAATAGTAGGGGTGGGCACAGGGCCGGGCCGAGCCCAATTTTGAAGGGATCGAACTGGACTCGGATTTAAAAGAGACGGGCTGGGCCAGGCTGAGGATAACACTTTCTAATATAAGAACCGGACCTTACCCGGCCTGGTTCAAACGAGCCAGTTCGGACCAGGTCTATATATTCTCCCAATGCAGTGTGCATATTTTACAATTTGCACAAATTTACTCCCTGCACAGATTCTCCTAGGGAAATGAATAGCCTTATGGTAAAGTTCCTTTGTTTTTATTACTAGTTAAATTGTAATAGGCCCCCTTGGCATTTGAAGAGGGCTAGCAAATTTACTTTAGGTGAGATATGGACATGATGTTAATCCCAAAAGGGTGTTGGAAGATCGATTTGATGAAATATTTGTCGGAGTATCAGAGCATGACCAAGCATGAAAAATCGGCTACATTGCCCACAAAAATAGATTAGGATTTAGGGTTAGAATATGAACTGATTTAATTGGCTCTGCCCCATCAAAGTTTTAAGGGGCACTCGGGCCCTGAAAAAAAAAAAAAAAAAAAAAAAAAAAAAGTGATACAATTGAGGTAAGCTTAAATATGGTTATGGTGTCAATTTAGAAAATAGTGAAATGAAGCTTGTTCCAGAAATGTGCATCAATGACGGGTTAGATAAAGGAGCATGACAGGCATGACTTCTTTCTTAAGAAAGAAAAGAAAGCAAAGTTGAGCTTACCTAAAACCTTCTTCTTCCTTTGTCCTTATAGCTTGGGCAGAGTATATAGTTGATCCAACTGCAATTGCGTAATGATTAGGAATAAGAATCAATACAAGACATAGTTGAAGAAGGATAAGGAGAAAAGCAAACTATAAGTTTACACACATTCCCGAATTTTTTGGTTCACCAAATTAGGGGCTGAGGCTGAGAAGACAGAAACCATGCTACATGTACCTGAAATGAAGATTTTTGCCGCCTCCTTCAAGGAACCTAAATCTATTATGTCTTTGGCCTATCCAACTAGCATGTATTAGATAAATTTGTCTTACATTAGCATTTATCAAGCAATTTAGAAAGAATAGATGACGGAATTGCCTAATGTGGATTCATGACGATATAGGAAGATGTTATGCTTCTAAAATCTGATCAACAGTGAACAAGATGGTGACTTTACTCTAAGATATCTATACATATTGCAAGATTTATAACTAAAAAAGCCAAAATATCTGAAGGCTCAACAAGTAATGAAAGGTGAGGTTTTCAAAAGAACATTACTGAAAAGTAGGCATAGTTTGTAAAAGTAAGACCACCCATGATACATGAGCTGAAAAGGAAGTCAGAGAGAGAAAGATCTAACTCTAAAATTAAAACCATCGACTGAAACCATACATGCAATGAGAATATTTGGATGACAAACTCCAATGAAAAACCTAATCTAAGAGGAGATAAACAGCTAAAGTATGTCTATATAACTGTAAAAGTTCCACACCACCAGCCATCTCCTCACATAAATAACACCAGAAAAATATATCAGTATGCTTATGCAAAAATAACACTACCCTTATGCCCATAACACATTCGATTTGGCCAGATACCACCTCAATAAACAATTAAACACAGTGGTTACAAACCAACAAAATTAACAAGAAAGAATGGGGGAGAGAACAAGAAAAAGGCACGACATTCATCAAATCAACGCAGTACTATTGTTAATTCATGTATGTGCACAGACATGCTTTAGTAATATAGCCATAGGGTAAATCAGTGACTATCACTACCAACCTCTAAAAAGGTGATCTTGAGTGAATTGGATAAGTGAATTCAATATCAGGGATCTTGCCTAATAATCAAACTGAAGGAATCCAATATTAATACATGGGAAGAAAAAAAACATTGGAGAAACAGTATATAAAACAGAACATGAAACACAGACATTCGATTGTAAATTTTAAGAAAACCCTAAATGGTGGCAACAGAACAATCATCAATCTACAAATTCTAATTTAAAAACCCTAAAATCCCTACACAAGAAATTCACATTAATAACAAAACCCTAATTCAAAATTACCTAAATTTTAGAGGGATGATGGCTGGTAGCAATGTCCTCGACGACAGTGACGGGGTGATTGTGGTCGCGACGGCGGGGGTGTTGTCGAAGTGGAGAGAATTGACGGTGGGGTAAAGGGTTGATGGCCTGAGTTCTCTGGGATGTCGTCAAGAAGGATGATGGGTGGTGTCGTTATGTTGGTCGACAGCAGTGATGGCTGGTAAGCACTGTGAAGAGGCGAACGATTGAGAGTTGGAGAGTCGAGGGACTGAGAGTCTAACAGAGTGGAAGGCTTTTGCGCAAAGTGCCTATTAAAAAAAAAAAAAAAAAAAAAAAAAGGGAAAACTTGGGAAATTTTTTTTAAAAAAAACGCCTATTTTTTATTATTGCATTGCCAAAATTATCATAAATGACGCGACGCAGGTATACATTTCGATGTAGCGCAAAGTGCTTTTGGGCAATGACCACATTGTGGCGTCGTGCAAGGTTTTTTTTTTTTTTTTTTTAATATTATAAATTTTAATGAAAATTTACTTAATAAATGTATATACCTTTGAACTTAATGAGATATGCATTGTACGAAACTAATTCCAACGATCCAACTATCAAAATTGTTTGTATATATTCCGAGATGGAATATGCCAAAAATTGCAAAAAACAAACATTCAGAGATCAAGTAATGGGACAAAACTTTTCGACGGTTATAAATGAAAAATCACAATTTAACGGTTATTTTAACTCCAATTTTGATGATTTTTTACAGCTACACTCCTTGACCCTATATGAACATAACAAACTGATTTGATCGTCAATTTAAAATATTTACATAAGTGGATACCACAAAATTTTATGTTATACTTAATGAAAGTATAAATAAACTCTAAAAGTTAGGGAATCTATCGTTTTGATGGGATACGCATTCTACGAAAATAATTTCAACAATCCAACTGTCATAGTTGTTTGTATATACTTCGAGATTGCATACACCAAAAATCGCAAAAAACAAACATTCAGAGATCAAGTAAAGGGACAAAACTTTTCAACGATTATAAACGAAAAATCACGATTTAACAGTTATTTTAATTCTAATTTTGTTGATTTTTTACAGCTACACTCCTTGACCCCATATGAATACAAGGAATTGATTCGATTGTCAATTTAAAATATTTACACAAGTAGATACCACAAAATCTTATGTTATACTTAATGAAAGTATAAATAAACTCTAAGTGTTAGCGAATCTATTGTTTTGATGAGATACGCATTCTATGAAACTAATTTTAATGATCCAACTGTCAAACGTGTTTGTATATACTTCGAGATTGCATACACCAAAAATCACAAAAAACAAACATTCAAAGATCAAGTAACGGGACAAAACTTTTCGACGGTTATAAACGAAAAATCACGATTTAACGGTTATTTTAACTCAGATTTTGATGATTTTTTTACAGCTACACTCTTTGATCCTATATGAATACAATGAACTAATTTGATCTTCAATTTAAAGCATTTACACAAGTGGATACCACGAAATCTTATGTTATACTTAATGAAAGTATAAATAAACTCTTAAGTGTTAATGAATCTATCGTTTTGATGGGATACGCATTGTACAAAACTAATTTTAACGATCCAACCATCAAAATTGTTTGTATATACTTCGAGATCGTAAAGCAAAAGATTGCAAAAAACAAACATTCAGAGATTAAGTAACGAAACAAAACTTTTCGACGGTTATAAATGAAAAATCACGATTTAAAGGTAGTTTTAACTCCAATTTTGATGATTTTTTACAGCTACACTCTTTGATCCTATATGAATACAATGAACTAATTCGAACATCAATTCAAATTATTTACACAATTGGATACCACAAAATCTTATGTTATACTTAATGAAAGTATAAATAAACTCTAAGTGTTAGTTAATCTATCGTTTTTATGAGATATGCATTGTACGAAACTAATTTCAACGATCCAACCGTCAAACTTGTTTGTATATGCTTCTAGATCGCATACGTTAAAAATCACAAAAAACAAACATTCAAAGATCAAGTGAGGGGACAAAACTTTTCGACAGTTATAAACGAAAAATCACGATTTAACGGTAGTTTCAACTCCAATTTTGATGATTTTTTACAGCTGCACTCCTTGATCTTATATGAATACAATGATATAATCCGATCGTCAATTTAAAATATTTACACAAGTGGACCACAAAAAGCCTTTGCGTAACGAAGACTGGCATCACGCTAAGCAGTTCTGCGCGACATAGGTATACAATTTGACGTCGCACAAAGTGTTTTTTGTGTGATGTGCACATTAAGGCATTGCCCAAGGTATTTTTTTTTTAAAAAAAAAATTATTATAAAAATTACTGAAAATATGACTTTACTCGTTTCAAATTCAATTTTTTTTTTTTTTTTACATAAAACCCACAATAACATATTTTTCTAAAACAAAAACCCACAATAATTTTTTTTACATATCATTCAATTTCTTAAGTGTTATAAGTACAAAATAAATAAATTTAAATCTACTTAGTAAATATATATACCATTGAACTTGATGAGATACGCATTATACGATACGAAACTAGTTTCAACGATCCAACTGTTAAACTTGTTTGTATATGCTTTGAGATCACATACACCAAAAATCACAAAAAGCAAACATTCAAATATTAAGTAACGGGAAAAAACTTTTCAAACGTTATAAACGAAAAATCACAATTTAACAATAGCTTTAACTCCAATTTGATGATTTTTTACAACTACACTCCTTGATACTATATGAATACAATGAACTAATTCGATCATCAATTTAAAATATTTACACAAGCGGATACCACAAAATCTTATGTTATACTTAATGAAAGTATAAATAAACTCTAAGTGTTAGTGAATCTATGATTTTGATGGAATACGCATTGTACGAAACTAATTTCAACTATCCAACCGTCTCACTTGTTTGTATATGCTTTGAGATCGCATACGCCAAAAATCGAAAAAAAACAAACATTCAGAGATTAAGTAACGAGACAAAACTTTTTGACGGTTATAAACGAAAAATCACGATTTAATGATAGTTTTAACTCCAATTTTGATGATTTTTTTTACAGCTACACTCCTTGATCCAATATCAATATAATGACCTAATTCAATTGTCAATTTAAAATATTTACACAAGTGGATACCACAAAATTTTATGTTATACTCAATAAAACTATAAACAAACTCTCTAAGTGTTAGTGAATCTATCGTTTTGATGGGATACACATTGTACGAAATTAATTTCAACGATCCAACCGTCAAACTTGTTTTTATATGCTTCAAGATCACATACGCCAAAAATCGCAAAAAACAAACATTCAGAGACTAAGTAATGCGACAAAACTTTTTGATGGTTATAAACAAAAAATCACAATTTAACAGTAGTTTTAACTCTGATTTTGAAGATTTTTTTTATAGCTACACTCCTTGATCCTATATGAACTAATTCGATTTTCAATTTAAAATATTTACACAAGGGGATACCACAAAATTTTATGTTATACTTAATGAAAGTATAAACAAACTCTAAGTGTTAGTGAATCTATTGTTTTGATGGGATATGCATTGTATTAAACTAATTTCAACGATCCAACCGTCAAACTTGTTTGTATATGCTTCAAGATCGCATACGCCAAAAATCGCAAAAAACAAACATTCAGAGAACAAGTAACGGGACAAAACTTTTTGACTGGTTATAAACGAAAAATCACAATTTAACGGTAGTTTTAACTCCGATTTTGATGAATTTTTATAGCTAAACTCTTTTATCCTATATGAATAGAATGAACTAATTCGATTGTCAATTTAAAATATTTACACAAGTGAATACCACAAAATCTTATGTTATACTTAATGAAAGTATAAATAAACTTTAAGTGTTAGTGAATCTATCGTTTTTATGGGATACGCATTGTATGAAACTAATTTCAACAATCCAACCATCAAACTTGTTTGTATATGCTTCGAGATCGCATACACCAAAAATCGTAAAAAACAAACATTCAGAGATCAAGTAACGGGACAAAACTTTTCGACGATTATAAACAAAAAAATCATGATTTAACAGTAGTTTTAACTCTGATGTTGATGATTTTTTTACAGCTACACTCCTTGATCTTATATGAATGTAATGAACTATTCCGATCGTCAATTTAAAATATTTACACAAGTGGACCACAAAAAGCTTTTGTGCGAAAAAGACTGGCATCGTGCAATGTTGGGAAAAAAAGGGTAAACATTCATGGTTTGGTGCCAAAATCTTGTGCGACGCCTTCTGCTTTGCGTCGCACAAACATACTTTGTGGGACGAAATTTGCTCTGTCACGCAAACAATTTTTTGTACTTGTGCATAAAACTATATCATAAGATGCTTTCGGGGTGTCTGCTCCTATTAGGCTATATTTTAGTACTTGCTTGGCTTAAAGCCAACCAAAGCTAATATGACCCGAACGTCATTATTTTTGCTTTCATGATCAACCTCGTATGGTCTCGATCTATTGAATTAATTTAAGTGACCAGCAACCTGTTAATTCGACAAAAATCCAAAATTATTGGTCTGAAGTCTACTTTTTGGAAATTAACATTTCAATTGTTTGTTTCTCTTCTTTGAACTATTGACATCGTTTTGTAGTCCCGAAGCTACTCACACTTGAGTTCCTGAAGCAACCCAAGTCTACTATGCTTGAGTGGTATGTTATATTATATGTTATTACATGTACATCCTTTTATGAACGAGAAGTTCATACTAAACTCGAACTTGTAGTTTCGAATTTAGTGTCTTTGTAACCTAAAGTTTTCGTAAAATACTACATCCATAGAATACCCGAAGTTTTTCTTGTAAACCATGTCTTAGAATCTGAATGTTCTAACTTTGATGCTTACGGAGGTTTTATTTCCCATAGCACAAATCACAATCTTGTTTCCCCCATTCAGTGGATTGCCGAACCATCACAAGTTTGATTTCACTGATTTGGACGTTTCAAGCAGAAACTACTTTATGTGGTACATGACATGAAGTGCCATTTGACTGTTAAGAAGTTGAGAAACCATTGAAGACAACAATGGCATGGAAGAGCTGAATAAGCCTTTACCATGATCTTCATTCGAAGACTTATGCCTGAATAATTACAAATAGAAGTACCTCACTGAAGAAGAATTCATGGATCTTTGGCTCGCTTTACATACCGTTTAATCATGAAAGATGATCTTGCCTAAAGCAATTGAAACCTTTACGTCCATAAATAAGTACAATTCTGAAG